AATTCCAAGTCACCAGGATATGGATGGCTGTTGAAGCCATGGGCTTGTATGTGATTGCCTGAGGAATGAATGTCAGTGAACAGGAAGAGAGATTTAGTCACAATCACGTAGTTAAGTCTGCCAGAAGATACGTGAGGCAACTGACTGAGAGTCAGTAGACTATGAGAGGCCCTTTGGGGTTATGACAGGAGATTCCATTTTCCTGAAATGCCCCCAGGAGACATAGAAGAAGTGTAAAGGGATTGGATAACAATTTATGGGTTGTTCTTTTTTTTGTAGTGATCACTGATTGGGAGATTTAGGTTTCTGAACATTAACTTCATTTACCCTTAGCCTTCCTTCTGAGGATCTTTACCAATCCCCCTAAGTGTTTTCTTGAATCCCTCTTCATGGTAGAGGTGGGGCAAAAATAATTTTGTGTATTTTCCCGAAAGATGAGAATGTTTTGAGGACAGAACTCCTAAACGTGAGAACTTAGGAAGAAAAAGTTGCCCCAGTGCCAACAGCACATTTTCCAGTGCACTGAAATAAAACTTGGGACTTGAAAAAGAGATGTTGGGCTTGCCCATGAGTTCAATGCTACTCCCATTGGATTAATTCCAGAGGCACACGAAGAATCAGGACTAGATCTAGGGAGACGATACGAATGTCTTTGGAGCCCGTAAGCTAGGTGGCATGCCAGACGGGGTACAAAATTTCATTCCTTCTGTGGGTCCACGTTTCTTTTGGTGCCAGCTGAGCCAGAAGAGGCTCCCCAAGTGCACCTCCTGGGGCCACTATAGTCCTTACTGCGTCCATGCCAGGAAAGCACATTATACGTGAGCCATCCAGGTTCTGAGGACTCCTTTTCTCTTTTCCTCCTGTTTATCGCTACTCTTCCTGGAAACAATCTCCCCTTTATTCAGCATTTACAGAAAGCTATGTCTGTTAACCATTCCTCTTTGAAGTTTTGAGTTGTACTCAAATATTTATAACTTGTGGACAAGCACTTGAAAGGGACTTTAGTTTTCATAGGACGCATTTCTTAACTTATGGAGGCCTTTTAATGATAACCAGCATAGGGTTACAGAGCAAGTGTTCTTAATTTAGGGAACACTTCTTTGATATCAGTCAGCGTTATCATACTCATTAAAGAATCAACCTCATCTTTCCTCCGGATGAAACAAAAA